TCGCCCTGATGAAGTGAACTGCAAGGTTCACGAAACGTTGGCATTCCAAGAATGGATCTGAACACGGAGAAAACCCGCGAAACGCAAGATTGTCATAATTATTTAATATAATTATGCAATGCCATCGTCTTACTTCCCATATAATTTTCGGATACAACGTTTTTTGCAAGTATTATTTTTGCAAGTATTATTTAGGCAAGTATTATTTTTGCTAGTATTATTACAACCAACTGCTGCACAGAGTACCATCTCGCCAAAAAATGTCTATGACTACGTTTACACGATTCGATTTACGCCAAAGTTAATATCGATGTTACGAAATTGGCCAATCACAGTCATTCCATTCTTCAGAAGAATAGCTATGTTTGATTAGTTCCATAACATCGATGTTATAACTTCGGCGTAAATCGGGCCGTGTAAACGTAGTCTATATAAAAATGATTAAAAACATATTTTGTCTAATATTATTCATTACATAGCAACAAACATTTATAAAATGAGTATAATGTTTGTATTTAACCTAATCTAATGTCTTCTTCAGGAGGATTAAATGGCAATTGTGAATTCCCTGTTTGGTTTTCCGACCCTACCATGGCTATTTTACAGAATTTGTACTCTGCAACTATCTAACTGACAATTAACCGAAAGTTTTGCTATAAATGGCGGAGCCAATCAGCATTAGGCACATGCGTTGGCGTCAGGGTGTCATTACATAAGTGCGGAAACACGGAAACGTGGAAACGCGCAACCAATCAGTAATCAGTAAAACGCGAAACCATAACAGCGGATCGCTTCTGATTGGTTACGCGTTTCCGCATTTCCGCGTTTCCGCGCTCATGTAATGGCACCCTTATGGCTCCTGCACATTGGACGCGAAAATGCTTACCGCGCGACAAAATGCGACACGGTAACCAATGAACATGTAAGGAGCTGTAAGCTTATTGGCTCCCGCGTCACATTTTGCCGCGGCAAGCGTTTCCGCGTCCAGTGTGCAGGAACCATTTCTCTCTTTATACCCACTCTAGAAGAAACACGTCCGATCCGCTCGAATGATCTCACGAGACTGATAATGGCTGCGTTCAGCAGAACGTTTGTTTTGCAACTGTTGGAAGTTTCCTTCGCGCTAATTGGATCATACTTTTAGATCTAGAAGAATGGTCCTATCTCAGCAGACAATCATAAAACGGTTGCAAAACTGTTGAGTCTGCTGAACGCAGCCAATGCTTTGAAGCGTTTGATGGACTGTAAGAAATACATAATGTTGGATTCACACTGCATTCGATTTTCGTCGTACGACGAAAATCGGATGCAGTGTGAATCCAGCATAAGTCACAAGTAAATCGGATCGCTACCGACATCTGTCAAAAGGTTAAGAATCGATTCTAATTAATGGTAGCGACACGGCGCTCGTTCGCCGGAAAGAAGTGTTCAAATATCACCGTGCGAAGGACTGAAATTTCGTTTTACGAGTTATGCCCGTGTCACACTACGCCAATTCAGCCAATTAGAACGAAATGGATTAAACTTAAAATTACTTGATTGGTCGAATTCTAATCCTTAATTCGCAATCCTCAGTCTCCAATGCGTAGTGTGACGCGGGCATTAATGCATCTCGCAATTCTATGGATGGCGTCGCAGTTCATATTACAATATTTAGATTTAATATCGGCAATCGGTCATAAATCGAATCGTTAGAAGAGCGTATTAAGATAAAATCACATTTTATACATTACCACTAAATACATTTTTAGTGCATATATGACGCTACTGCTAGAGTACTATATTATACAGAAATATGCATCCGCCATATTGGCTCCTAGTCAGTGCGGGAAAATTCGAGCCAAGCAAAGATGCTGTACTGCCAGTGCTGAAAATCTATAGTATACTATAAATTTTAAAAACAGTATGTACACTGACAGTATATACGAAACATAGTCGTAGAATTAATAAGTGCAATAAATAAAATGGGCGGTTGTAGTGCATTAAATTGTAAGAATAGGAGTGAAGCCGGATTTCAAACGTTTTCCGCTTCCCAACGGAACCAGAAAGAAGAAATAAGTGGTTAATAAACTGTCGGCGTGACAAATGGATACCTTCCTCGAATTCAAGATTATGCGAGGTAAGTACTTATATTTATCACTAAACCTTTATTTCAATTATTTAGAGCAGAAGATGAGAAATGGAAAATTGAGGTTAGAAATCTTCCCATTCATCACAAAATATTTCAGACATTTTAGCATGTTTCTGAAAGAATGCAACTTTCCTGACATCTTCGTAAAAACCTTTCTGAAAATATCTTATGAATATGAAACAAATATTTATAAGACATTTTTTAAAGGACATTGTTTTAATTTTTTTTTGCAGATTTACTTTGAAAGCTCTCAATTTGAACAAAATAGGCAAGGTGGGTTGAGAAAATTAAAGCCAAATGCTACCGATGTTATTTGATGTATCAAATCCTCCAAAAAGAATTGAAAGCATGAAGCAAAAAAGGTTTCTATTATTTCGTCTTTTAAATTCAAATTTTTTAATTTAATTTGTGTAAAATTAATTATAATTACGATATATACAATATATATATATATATATATATGACACATGTACGTGCACGTATATATAAAATAAACATTGCTTATGAGACATTAAACAGAAGGTATTTGAATTATATCCTATTCAAAAGTACGTGCGTGCGTGCGTGCGTGCGTGCGTGCGTGCGTGTGTAAAGAGGAAATTCAAATGTTCTACCTAACAATGCCTCGTAAAAAATGTTTATTTTCTATTTTTTAAGAGTTAAGTCGGCGGCACACAATGCTTGTTTTCATGCTGGGGTGCGTTCCAAAATTCACTCCGAGTAACAGAGTTTAACTCTACGCCGTTCCAAAAC